TTTCCACCCCTTTACTTTGAGTCTAAGTGCATCCTTGCAGGTTAGATGCGTTTCTTGGATACAGCAGATGCTTGGCTGATAATTTCTTTTCTTATGATGCCTCTACTATTTTAAAAAATAGGTAATCTTGGCCAGCTGGTACCGGATTTATACCAAAATAATGGACTTGATAGGTATTCAAACCAAGATATGTTGGACAGTTACCAGAGGAGAAGGACTCAGTCCTATTGAAAGCTGTGAAGGTAAGTTTCTTTCTATAATATCGTCCAGTTATCTATCGTAACATAATAAACGTATATACCCAGCATAATAAACTTAGCCCAAACTTATTGGTGTAAGGAGAAACCATTTTATTATGCTTGTACCTTATGCACATCTAAAAGTTGGGCGGGATATAGCAGGGTTCATTTGTCTCCATGATGTCAGGGGCCTTTGCTAGCAAGACTCAAATGGCTAGAAAGACCAGAACTAACTGGAGGCTGCTTCACTCACATTTTGGTTCCTGGTTGGGGTGATTGTGCGGCTGAGCTCAGCTAGGACTGTCCACTGGGACACATACATGTGGCTTTTCCATGTGACTTGGGCCTTTTTTACAGCACGGTACCGCAGAGTAGTCAAGCTTTTCCTATAGCAGCTCCAGGCTCCAAGCTGTACCCTGCATGGCCTCTTAAACCTAGCCTCAAAAGTCATATGGTATTGCTTCTGCTATACTCTGCTGAAGCAGTAACAAGCCCAACCGGACTCAAAAACTGGGGTCATAGACCTCATATCTCTATAGGAGGCATATCAGTGAATTTGCAGCCCTGTTTCAAAACCACCACAGCTACTACCCTATTCTCAACTATGTTCTGCCTAGTGCCATTTTTTCACTTGGGAACCAAGGCAACCATTTAATATATCTGGCCACCATTTTCAAAATAAACACAGTTTAATGTAGATTGCTAGACACATAAAGTAAATTGTGGTTAGAACATATGTTTTGTTTATTTTTAAAGGATTGGGAGATCCTGCTTGCTTTTATGTTGCTGTAATTTTTATTTTAAATGGACTAATGATGGCATTATTCTTCATATATGGCACATATTTAAGGTAAGAGAATATTTTAGTATATGTTTATAAGATATACTAGAATAATAAAAATACTTGATTAGTTAATAGTTAATCATTGCTTAGCTGATAGTTAATTTTATAACAATCTCATTCCTAAAATATCTACTTGTAGTTATAGAATTATTTCACATTTCCATGATTTCACCGTTGGTATCACCAACTGTACCAGTGTTGTTTTTGAGGTGTAAATAGAGCATGGTGGAGATACTTGATAAATTTTAAATATTTATGGGCACTTGAGCATAAACAATGTACATTATTTATATAAAATATAAAAGAAAAGCCCATTATCAAATGATATGAATGGCTCTTACTTTGCTAATGTTAAAATAGAAACATATTCTATACAAATATGTAATATCTAACCTGATTTACTTTACAATTGAGTAGTATTTCTAAAACTAAAAGATTGACTAATCTTTTTAAAGGTTTTGATGTCTATTTTTCTTCTTTTTTTGATGATTTATCATACTGTATATGTGTCTGAACTATTTGACCTTGAGGGAATTTTTAGAATTTTCTTCATTACTGCTTAGTGATTCTTTGTAGTACAGAAGTATGAGCATATGTATATGATTTTCAACTTGGGATAATGAGTTTGCATCTGCTATTATCCCATTGTCTTCTTTGCTTTGGAAGTATGGCATTTTCAGTTTAGTACCTCAAAGATCTGTTGAATTTCTAGCTCAGTGTTTGAGTATATAGCGGTATCTTGATAAATATTGTCAAAGGAGAAAGCTATTAGAAGATAAATTTAAAATATATTTGCATATAGATTTGAGACACTTTGATGCTAATATTTCTGACTTTGGTCTAAGAAAATTCTTTTAATTATTTAATTGGGGAGATTAAAATGGAAATGCATGATTAAAAGATGATGTGAAAGAGTGAAAGATTTTGCTTTTGAAACAAGGGACAAAGAAATAATCAAAAGAATATGGTAATCAGGAAAGGAGGCTGACTTGAGGGAAAGTGGGCCAGTGTGCTTGTATAATGAGCCAAAGAAATAGAAACTTGGTGGTATATATTCATTTTGCTAAGTACTGCCAGTCTGTCTTATGGATAGCTTTATCACATTTGGGAGATTAGATTTTAAGTAATGGAAGTTACAATGTGAAATATGGCATGATTGCTAAACTGTTAGTCTTTACTTATACTATTTTTTTTTTTTTTTTTTTTTGAGATGGGGTCTTGCTATGTTACCCAGGCTGGAGTGCAGTGGCTATTCATAGGCATTAACACAATACACTATAGCCTTGAACTCTTAGGCTCAAGTGATCCTCCTGCCTCAGCCTCCCTAGTAGCCAGGGCTACAGGTGTATGTCCTCATGCCCAATTACTTTTTTAATTGAAAGAAGAATTTCTAAACATTTACTAAAGAAAACATTCATATTGTTTTCTTATAATTTGTAACCTTTGTTTCAAAGACAGAAGGCGCAACATCTGCTGAACAGAATGGAAGTTTCTGGTTTTAGTTGAGGGGTTCTTGGTAGTTTGGGCCCTGACCTGAACTTTCTCAAACTTCTGCCCCAACAGTGCCTGGTAGGCAGTTTTCTTCCTATTTGGGAGATGCATATTCAGTTTAGTCAACACGTAAAGTACATACTAAGTAGTTTCCTTCTTAAGACAGTGTTTGGGCTCTGAGTGCATGGGAGTGGGGAGGGTGGGAGATAGAGGTGGCAGCAGAATGTGTGTAATGGGAGATAGAGAGGAAAGAAGGATAAAGGGCTCAAAATTCCAGAGTAAAGAGAAATTTGTTCTGTGTAAAGGGGCCACTTTAGCTTGACCTTGGAGAATCAGGGTTATTTGGATAGGTGGAAATGAACAATGAGGAAAAAAACATCCCAGGGAGAGACAAAGATGGAAAGTCTGCATCCTGAGAAGCAGGTAACAAGCAGGTCAGTTTGACTGGGATGCATGTTCTTGAGAGAGCTTCGTAGAAGATTAAGATTAGAACAGTGGCTGGGCTGGGTGTTGAAAAGCCTTGATACTAGGATGGTTTGAAACCTATTCTAAAGCAAGTGAAGAAAATCTGAAATTTGGCCAGTACAGGAACAGGATTCAAGCTGAGCTATGATCTCACGAGACCCTTGACTTTCACCAGACCCCAAAGTCAAAGCAGTGACTGCTTCAGCACAGTGTTTGTCAAACTGCAGGACATGACCTATTAGGGGGCTTTAAAATCAATGTAGTCAGTTGAGCCTGGCAATTTTTTTTACATGAAAAAGAAAAGAATACAAATGTAAACAATAGCATCTACCACACTTAATAAGGGTAGATATTAGAGAAACTTCTATTTGCTGTATGTATGTGTATATGAATGTATACTGAGCTACAGTGTAAAGTCGTATTTCTTACTGTAATTTTAGTGTAAAAAAAAAAAAAGTCTGTAGACCCTGCTTAAGGTGGCACGAGGGAACAACGCATACCTTAGAGCATTTGGTTCTTTCCAAATAGCTGTCTCTGGCTCTTTTCCAGTGCCAAGGGCTGCAGCTGATTTCAGCTCCGCCTGCTTGACTGCTTCCTGCCTCAGCTGGCCCCTTTGGGGTTGCCCAGGTCTCGTACCCTGCAGTGGTCTGCACTTGGAGCACACATTTTCATTTTTCCAACTCTTCTTCTGCTGTTTGTGGGCTTTTCCTTAACCCTGAAAAATCCCTTTAGCTCTTTCTAAAGGCATCCTGAACTCAAGGTTCTTCCCAGCACTACCCATCACCAATGAGCTTGCAGTTCTTGTGCATAATGGAGCCACTTGTATTCTCAGGAAGCGTTGACTCTTCCATTGCTCCCTGAGGGCGGTTGTATAAACAGCTCCCAAATGCTGATCCTGATGTATATCATGTTGAATGATGTCTCTTATCACTTCTTTTCTATCAGTTTTTTTTGTTGCATTTTTGTATGTTTTTCACATGCAGTATTTTTAGAGGTTTCAAATTACTAGTTCTTAATATTTTCTTCGATAATAGTTTAGTCGCCTTTCTAATTTTATGAGTGGGATAAAGCTGCAGACTTCTTATATTTGGGTTAAAAATAAGAGGAGGATAACTAAAATTGTGTTTAGATTTTTGTTTTTATAAATTGTGTTCCATAATTGAGAAATAAAAGTTGAAATTTGTCTGTTAGATTAGAAGTTTGCAGGCAGATTAAGTATGACAGTTTTTAATCCAGAAGTATATTTGTTTTAAAATAACGTAGATAAAAGATTTTAGAAGCCAGATAAGCTAGTCTATTTCATCAGAAATGGAAGTAGGAAAAAAACCGTAATCAAATGGTGAATGGGGCTGTGCTGCCAAATTCTAACTTGAGGAGATGCAGTGAGATCTGTTTTGCAAACACAACTTACTCATGCTGGAATTCTCTGTATTGTAGTATTTAAAAAAAATACCCATTGTTAATTTTTTGCAAGTTATATCGTTAATTCATAGTTTTATTTCATAAGATACCCTGATGTTTCTAAGCCATAGACTAACAGTTTCTGGAGGCCAGTTTCTTAATACCCAGTGTATGTAAATCTCTGTTCTGCAGGGAAAAAGGAACTTAAGAGAGTGGTTGCTGGGCATTTAAACTTCCCCCACAGTTTCTTGTAGGGGAAATTCATATATGCCTAAAATTCTCTTATTGTTAAATACCAAAATTTTTGTTATTGGACCCCAAGGCAGATATCAAGCAAGTAATACTAAACCTGTATTCTTTGCAATTTAGTTTTTTTTTTGTTTTTTTTTTTTCTGAGACAGAGTCTCACTTTGTCACCCACGCCAGAGTGCCCTGGTATCATCCTACCTCACAGCAACCTCAAACTGCTGGGCTCAAACAATCCTCTTGCCTCAGTCTCCTGAATAACTGGGACTACAGGCGTGCAGCACCACACCTGACTAATTTTTTCTATTTTTAATAGAGACGGGTGGTCTCACTCATGCTCAGGCTGGTCTCAAACTCCTGAGCTCAAGGGATCCTCCCGCCTCGGCCTCCCAGAGTGCTAGGATTACAGGTATGAGCCACTGCGCCGGCCTGCAGTTTAGTTTGATTTTAGTATTCTGGAGTTTGAAGTTACCTTTAGCTAGGTCATTGTGCATTGTGGAAAAAGAATAGATTAGATAGTATATTTAGCTATTAATTATTTACCCTTAGTGGTACACTGGCACATGTTTAACAGCCAGCTCTCTGGCAAAAATACATACATACATCAAGTTTATTATAAATTTTCCTGCTATAAAGGATGTGTACAAATAACAACAGGATTTCTAAACAGTATTGTTTTTTTCCTTTCTTTTTGGAAATAGTCCACCAGAAATACTCTGACTAGCTCAAATAACAAATGGAGCGCAATACTGGGATACAGAGGTTTTGTGAACCAGAGAGTCATCAGAAGAAGGGCTTTGTTTAAGGCTCATTCATCTGTTGGTGTTAGATTTAACCCTACTTGTTGTCAGTTATTCTTTAGTTGTCTTTATCTTTCAGTCTTTTCTTCTTGGTTCCTTCCCATCTATCTGGAAACGCCTTCATCCCTTACCCTCCCCTGTTAGAGGACTAAATTGAGACAGAACTGTTTAATTGGATTCCCTTTGGGTACCTTTGTCACCCCAATCTGGTCTCCCATCCCTTCCTCCACTCCCCAGCAGTGTTTCCCCAGTGGAGATGGCTGGTCTCATCCACCTCTCCCACCACTCTCTTCATATAGTGCTTATCTGCAGGCCAAACCATGGGTTGCTTGGTTTGTTTTTGATCTTAGGAGGGTAAAAATGTATAAAACCACCCAAGATTTTCACAGATGAGTGCTGTGGCTGACCTAAGAGGACTCACTCTGTCTTTTTGTGCTTCATTTTCTCTTTAGAGTTCTCCCAGTGATTACTGCTGCCTCCATCTTCAGAATTCCTGTACCTCCCTAAAACTGAAGGATGCACAAAAATTCCTTTCCCACACCTCTCAAGACAAGGGAAATAGGGTAGAATCATAAAAGCCCTTAAGTCTAAGTATGATTTGCA